AAAACAAGACAAAACCAGGCAAGGCCTCCTGGTTTATAGGATAACTAACCTCGATTCCAGGTGGTGGCCAAGGCGTAGTTCTGGGCAGACATTCGACTGGCCAGGGAAGGGTGCTTGAGAATCTGGGACTTACACAGCTGTATGAGGCTGTTCACAATGACCGGGCTTGGAGAGAAAATGACATTTGGAAACTTAAAACAACATGTAACTCCATATTCCTCCGTTGAAAATCTATCTTATTTTGGGGAAACTCACCAGTAGGTCTCTCTCTTGGGGATGTCTTCGGGGGAGTGCCAGAGACGGGCATGAGAGATGATGTCCAGAACACGTTTTTCTTGGTTCTCTATGTGATTCCCTGGATCATCAACAAGACTAAGCACGCTCTTGGGAAGGCCTTCTATTAACTTGGTCTTAGTTAGCCAGAGAGCCTGCTTCATACCTTTGGGACAATCATCACAAAACAAACAAACAAAAACAAAAGAAAGGGACAAGACAGTTCAGGAAGAGATGCTCATGCCAACCAGGTAGGACCATGGTGAAAATGCTGTCTCAAGGGGGCTGGGTTGTTTTGAGTCATCTAAGGAACAAAACCTAAAGAAAAAAGAGTTGACTTGACTTCAAGAATGATGATCTACTTCAAGGTGATGAGGGTTGAGTATGGGACTGAGTGCCTGCCATGGGAGGGGCTCCAACCATGCTCAAGACAGCTCAGATCCCTGCTGACTTCCTACAGGCAAATAAATCAAAGCTGTGAGACTAGCTCAGTGGACAAACCCTTCACTTAAAGTATCTTTTAGTCATGCATACCCTAACCCTGACTAGAGAAGATGATGCACACCAAACTTATATTAGGTCTGAGTCCACCACAGCTACTCAATTCTGCCACTGTTACACAAGTGCAGCCATGGGCAATAATTTACATGTGCATATGGTTGTATTCCAGTAGAGTTTATTTGCAAAAACAGGGAACTGCTTAATTAGCTGACCCAGCTCTATGATGTTTATTGTTAGCAATCTCAGAGCCAAGTTTTATGGTTCTCTAGCATATATTCAGGATATATAATATTTAGAGCTGCCATTTACTGAATGTCATTTCTATGTAATGAATTTATCTATGTTATGTGGGATTTTATGTCATGAAAGGGGAAACTTGGACAAGATTGAAGAGTCTGCTTCCAGTCACTTGTCTTTAAGGTTACACAAGTAGGAGAATCTGAGCCTGTCCATCCTAAAGTCTACAATCGCTCCATAACCCATATTGGCTTTTCAGGCCCATATTTTGCAAGGTTTTGTTGTAATTTTATAAGACTTCTCTGTGACTTATGAAAGTGTAAAACAGAAGATACATTTTTTAGACTAGTTCAATGAGTGCAATCTTAACTTTTAAAACACTTGGCATCCATTACCAGGGTCACTCCAAGGGGTCATATTGTGTAAGATCCTTCACAGCATCTTCTGAGTGGTTAATGGCTAGAAAAATCAGCTTGTAGGTATAGGAGTGGCCATTTTAGAAGGCTGATGTATAGCTATCAGTTTTTCCGGATTTATGATTGAGTCCCATAGCCCCTAAGCCCTGTCAGACCTCTTTATTTCCTAGTTACCCTTTGGAAAATACTGTTCCCACATACCTCAACTGCTTTTAATTTTAGGACCTACCCTATTCCCCCTCCTGATCTAGGTGAAGATGAAAGTTTGAAGAATGAAGAAAGGTACTCTTTTTTTTTTTTTTTTTTTTTTTTTTTTTTTTTAAAGACAGGGTTTCTCTGCATTGCTTTTCAGGGCAGGTTGGCCTCTCACAGAGATCTGCTTGCCTCTGCGTCCCAAGCGCTGGGTTTAAATGTGTGCACCTTCACCACCTGGCTAGGTACACGTAATAATCAACTCTGGAAAATAATTCCTGATGATACTGAGAAGCAAACTGGTTTTGACTGCAGACATTTTGATCTGTTCTTAAGAGTGAAAAGCCCCTAAGCAGGTAGACTTTTGGATGCAAATCCCTTTCTTGAAAACATATCCCAGACTTTTAATAAAAGACACCGACCTAGGAAACTAGCGTTGCAGACCTGGCTTCACTATTGAAAGGAAAAGTATCTGCTCAGGACCCCCAAGACCAAGTTCTCAGCACAAAGGAGGTTTATTTGCCCCAGAGGGACAAAGATAGGAGATAACAGGATGAGGAAGAAGGGGAAGGGAACAAGGAAAAGGGGGAAGTGCTATTTGCCCTGGAAGGACAAGGGAATACTTCTGGATAGAGAGCAGACAGATGTGGCACACAGGAAAAGGACAGTTTATAAAGGTAGAGAAGAAACCCCTGCTTTAGGATATGGTGTTTAATTTTAATTGGGCATGTTAACTCGGTGAGCCAAAGGGGGGCTTTTGATTGCTGGACTTCAATACTTTGATAACTGGACCTTGGTAGTCAGCCTCAGGAGGAAGAAGTGGCCATATAAAGGAATAGACATTGGGGGCTAGTTTTGGGAATGTAATCTAACGGTTTTTAGCAAGGCAGCAGGAATGAGAGAGAAGGGCAAGGCCTCCAGAGCCATGTTTGCTAGGTCCGGGCCGGCTAGAATCCCTTCAACTGTCACCTCTCCACGAATGTATAAGCAAATCACTTCTGTTACAGCTGGCGAAGCTCTGAAATGAAGAGATGATCCTAGAAGAGTCACTCAAATTCTCCATTGCTCCCTCTCCCAATTGCCCTTTAAATCTCACTTTATCCTGACGACTTTTAGAAGATGAATGTCATTCCAGTTCTACTTTGCAGAAGAAGAAACAGAGACCCTCCCCAGAGGCCGGGTTAGTGCTGAACCTGGAGAGAACAGGGTCTCCTCCCGTTTGTCCCGTGGCCTCACCCTCAAGGAGTCGGCAGCGCTGGTGGAATATGTAGCAGGGCTGTTCCTTGTACAGAGGCTGCTCGGGGATCGGGGCCGAGCGGTGGTACCGTGGATCTTTCCAGCCGCGATCCCACGGCGGGAAGATCGGCCGAGCCAGCCCGGGGACGAAGTGCATCTTCCCCTCGTAGGTAATGGGCTCCAGACCCGGGATCTCGTACACCCTCTCCAGGGGGCGAGGCTCGGGCTTCCGCGTGGAACGCACGCCCCATTCGTACGCCTTGCGTTTCGGGACCCCGCAGCCCCCGAGACCGAACCTTCCAGAGCCAGCTAGCGCCCGCAAAGCGGGGCCTGACGCCAACGCCATACCGGTCCAGTATCCACAAGACCTCTACCTGGACGCCGCCATCTTTCCCCGAGCAGGGCCTGCCGGGAGCGAAAGGGGCTGGACGCAAAGTCTCGGTTTGCGAATGACAGACGCTTCAACCAATCGAAGTTAAGAATTCCTAGTTTTGCCTCCTTATAGGTGGAACCTGCATAACACTCTCTGCCTTGGGTTTCTGATACCTTGCAGGTGGGTAAAGTGGTGGTGCACCTGCAGCGGGCCCGGAGGAGTGCGGGGACCCCCAAACTGTACTTGCGACATCTTTCACCACTATAGGCATTTAGAGGTTGGACGGTCCCGGTCTCCCTCGCTGTAAAGTTAGGAGTTGGAAGGACGTAGCGGGCCTGGCTAGTGAGCTCTGGAAGTGTGCTCCTCTCCACGCCTCTTACTGCTTGCTGCCCACGCTTTCCTTGGCTGCCGAGAGCCTGCGAGTGGCACGGACACCTCTCCCGTCCCCTGCCAGCTCGGCACCCGACTGCTTGCCCGGAGGCTCGACCCAGCGCCGAAAGCGGGTTGCTTTTCCTCTGCTCCTCAGGTTCCCTCTTCGCGTCCCAGAGACAGGGCCAGTGCCAGGAGCTGCTCCTTTGCTCAGCACCTTCTTCTGCCACGCTCGCTGTGGACATGGGCGTGGGTACTGTGCTAAGTACCGGGTAGACTCGCAGAACTTAGGTTTGAGAAAGAGGGAGAGAAAAAGGTGAACAGTGGCAACACAGACCTGCTTCCTATTCCTTTCTCTGTCTTTTTCTCTCGTTTAACCTCTGTCAAAGTTGCTATTTATTTTTGTTTTGTTTAATGACTGTCCTATGAGCACAGAGAACTGCAGTGTCCCTTGGCACCTAGACCAGTTGTCTGACCGTGTATATTTAACAAATGAATACACACTAGACCAAATAAAGTGCTTGATAATGACGAGGAAAGCACTCAGGAAGTGCCTCCGAGGGAGGATGATGACCTTTCAGCCAAGGCCTGAAGAGTAGGGAGAGGCAGCCAGGCCCAGGCTGCCATAGGGATTGTGCCTCCCAGATAGGAAAGAACCATGTCGTTAAAATTGTAATTGATAGGCTGGGCGGTGGTGGCCTACGCCCTTAATTCCAGCACTCGGGAGGCAGAGGCAGGCTGATTTCTGAGTTCAAGGCCAGCCTGGTCTACAAAGCTACACAGAGAAACCTTGTGTCGGGAAAAAAACAAAATTGTGATTGATGTAGTGAGCTTCTCTACCAATTTCCAAAATAGTTGAGACAATCAGCAAATATAAGGCAGAGGACAGTATGACGAAGCCTCGCACTATATGACAGTTGACAGTTAACAAAATAGTCTCATTTTAATCCCCTCCCCCAAACCCAAAGAGTAATTAGCATAAAGAGGCTTCATCCGCTCATGTAGTTGATACACTGCTTGCTGTGAAGGAGGATTGATTGGATATAACACCTTGCCAGGTTTGAGCAAGGGCAGGTATTGTGTCCTGTGCACCTGTATGTATTCCAGCACCTTACCTGTGCCTAGCTCCCAGACCGTGGAGTGCCCACTCACCAGTCAGTGGGGGCTTTTGGGCAGGAGAATAGAGAGAGTAAGACACTACCAGCCTTGTTGTCACTGGTGTCCTAGCCTCAGAACCACACTTGAGCTTCTTGCACAGTAGAGAGGGTTTTCTGAAACCAAATCTCCTTCTCTGCTAAGAAAAGATTTATTACACACACACACACACAAAATAATTGTAGGTAGTAAGTATGTCCTGTCTGACAGCAGGTCCCTGCTTAAGCCATCGCTGTCCTTGTAGCCTGGCAGGCCTTGAGGAAAATGTGAGGGATAGAGGACAGAGTATAACCCATGTTTTTCTTCTCCCAGGCTGACAAGGAAGGAGAGCCGGGCTATTCCAGTTGTCCCTTTGTCCATATTGCCCAAGTGCCACTGACAATGGACCAGCAGGAGGACAATGATGCTGAAGGTTGGCTGCAACTGAAGCCCGTGGAGCCCTTGCCCTCCCAGTGCTGTGGGAGTGGCTGCTCACCCTGTGTGTTTGACCTCTATTCCCGAGACCTGGAAAGATGGGAAGCAGCCCGAGCCAGAAATGACAGGAGTCTGCTGAGTGGGAAGCAGTCTCCTGAGACCCAGGTGAGGAGTGCAGAGTTTAATATATCTGTCTGCCCAGTGCACCTGCTGCGGGAAGCCTCCCTTGACTAGACAGTGGAGAGAAAGAAATAGTCAAAATGGAAGCAGATAGATCCAGGGAGCAAGGTCCAGACCTGAAACCAACCTATTCGTAACTATGTGGATTTAATCTAAGCCCCTTAACCGCTTGAAGCCTTAGTTTCCCATCTGTAAAGTGGACCCAGGTATTTATAATGTTTAGCACAGAACCTAATAATTTCACTAAACAAATATCCATTGAATACCTGTTTGTCGTCGTTAGGGTTTACTATTGCTGTGAAGAGACACCATGACCACAGCAACTCTTAGAAAGAAAACATTTACTTGGGGTGGCCTGCTTACAGTTTCAGAGGTTTGGTCCATTGTGATCACGAAGGGAAGCATGGCAGCGCGCAGCCAGATGTGGTGCAGGAGCTGAGAAGGTAGCACTCTCTGCTCCAGGAAGCTGACTGACAGTCACACTGAGGGAAGCTTGAGCAAGAGACCTCAAAGCCCGCCCCCACAGGGACACACTGCCTCCAACAAGGCCACACCTCCTAATAGTGCCACTCTCTTTGGGGGCCATTTTCCTTCAAACCACCACACTGTTATATGCCCAGGTCCTATAAGCCATTGAGGATCTGTGTTAAGCAGGACAGAGCAAACTAACATATGGTATTATATCTAGGTAGTAAAGGGGTACAGCCCTTACTCAGTTTTCTCTGGAACTCACTGACTTCCTCTTCCTTTCTTAACTCAAAAAGAACTTCATACATTTCATGAATAGTTACATGTTCAGTATATAGTGGCTGTACTCACAACAGAAAATCAGGTGATATTGCAAAAATGGCAGATTTCAAAGTAATAGCTTTAACTTTTAAATTGCGATGAGGTAATAATAATAGATCACATTTCCATAGCAATTTACATTTGATGAAATACATATACAAAGCTAGGTGTAGTGGCACACTCTTTTAATCCCAGCCCTTGGAAGCTAGAGGCAGGAGAGTCAGGGACTCAAAGCCAACTGTGGTCTAGTGAGTCAGGTCAGTTTGAGCTATATGAGATCCTGTCTCAAAGAAGACAAAAAACAAACAAGCAAAAAAACCCAACCACCACCTATGTTATTTTCTCTTACCGCTATAACCTCATAATGCTACCAGATGAGTGGCCTCTTGTTACATAATAGGAAACCCAGCCCAGAAATAGCAGCTAGGTCAATCTCAGTGTCCTGACTTCAGCTTGGTGTTCTTTAGCCACAGACAGCTCTGACAGGGTTCTTAGCAACTATGACTGATGGGGTGGGGGCAGGGGTGAGGTGGAGAGTGTCTGGGACACCAAGCCTGTTACCACTGAGACACTGGTTACTAAGATCCAAGATTGGTGCCATACCCAAACCTCATACAGGTAAGATAAGTACAAACATTATACATGAGAGAGAACCAGGCAGTGGCACATGCCTTTAATCGCAGTTCTTAGGAGGCAGAGGCAGGAGGATCTCTGTGAGTTCCAGATCCACATGGTCTGCATAGCAAGTTCAGGACAGCCAGGGCTACAGAGATGAACCCTGGAGGGGTGGGGATTCCAAGGGGCACAAGGAGGGTTGGGATGGTAAGGACAGTGTGCTGAGTCACAGAAGATGTGGATTGGAGTCCCTCCTCCCTGCTGACTTTGAGCAAGATAAGCAGTTAGATTTGGATTAGAGACTACCAGGCCATGATCATCTGTAGCAGCCTTTCTCTGTCTGCCCTCACGGCTTCTGTGATATCTGTCACAGATTTCAGGCACCATACTGTAACTCTGTAATTCTCATTTCCCCAAAGGAAGTTTACTAAGTTCCCTAATGGGGACTACATATTATAGGCACAGGTTAACTAAAAGGCCAAACCGTTCCCCCTTTTCCTATCTCTTAGAAGTCAGAGACAACATGTATTCCAGGCTATTCATCAACACATGACAGGAACCTCCCCTTTTTCTCTGAAACCTGTAAGAGGGAACTCCCTCTTAGCCTCAAGGGCCTGAATTTTCTTTGGAACCCTGCCATATTATCTGTCTGGTATCAATGACTCTTCCAGTTAATCTGTCCTCAAAGGACTACCTACCTCTGTTTTTCTCCCGAAATCCAAGACCCGAGACCTTTTATAAGCTACTGCCATTGGGCCTCAGTTTCCCCATTTGTGACACAAGGATGCTGGATTGGGTCTCTAAGGCTCTAGCAGTTTTTTAGCTCTGCAGATCTGGGACTTAACGGTCTGCAGGATGAGCATGTGTTTGGTACACTGGAGTGAGTGTTTTGTGTAGAGGGTATAACTTGAACAATGAAGATCTTGAGGTGGACAATGACAGGAGGCCTTGGGAGGAGGATTGGAAGTCTGCCGTCTGTTCTGTGGCAGGTAAATGAAGCTTGTGGTTGTCTGCTGCTCCCTTGAGTGTAGGCTGAGGAGTCTATGCTTGGTCCTGGGGTTGTGGGGAGCTACAGAAAGCTTAAGAGCAGGATGAACTCCATGTGCTGTGGATAAACGGGAAGCAAGGTAGGGCCAACTCTCTGTCACATCAAGAGATGGCTCTCATGGGGGAAAGGATGTGTGTCCCTTAGGCTGGACCTCTAGAAGTCATCTTTTCCTGTTGCAGAGCTGCTCCACCAAGCTGAGTCTAGAGACCTTCCTGGCCTTTCGCATCAGCGCCATAGAGAAACTTACCAAGGACACCTATCATGTCCGGTTTACACTACCGGGGAACAGTCAGCTCGGCCTGCATCCGGGGCAGCACCTCATCCTACGGTACAGTCAGGAAGTGGGAGGACCGGTGTCTGCTTCTCTGCTTGCCACTGACCACCTGAGCAGCCTGGGGCAGCTTGCTTGACCTTTCCTAAGCCCTTCCTTGTTTACCATCTTCAGGATAGACACAGGATAGAATCAGGATCCTTGACATGGAACTCAGTAATGTGTTTTTGTGATAGATAATAACACCAGCACTTTAACTGCACTTCCTAGCCAAGGCACAACTCTTACTAGCCAAGGCACAGTTCTGTCTACTCACATTCATGAACTCATTTAACCTTCACAAAATTCTGGCTGGTAGGTACCATTATCATCCCCAGAGGACACTGAAATCAGAGAGGTTCAAGAACTTAAGGTCACAGGTCACAGGAAGTATTAGATGAGGATTTGAAAGCAAGTAGACTGTCTTTGGAGCCAGTGTATTAGTATGGGATGATAGAAAGGACACTATAAAGAAGAGACACTATAAAGGAGAATTAAGAGTTTAAGGTCAGCCTCAGCTATATCTCAAGTCTGAGCTTATCCTGGGCTATATGATATCTTATCTCAAAACAGTAATAATAATAAAAGAAAAAGCAAGTAAGCAAACAAGAAAAGTTTCCCAGTATTATACAACTACCAAGTAATGGAACCCAGATCGCAGCCCAGACAGCTTGGTTGCTGAAATACTTTAGTGTCCTCGCTTCTGAGAGTCCTCCTCTGTGCTTACTTCTGAACTGCTCTGGGTCCCCTGCCTAGTCCATGCCCACCTTGGGAGGGAGACACATCTTTCAGACAGTCAGTCCTGGGTGTGAGGCTCGGCAGAGAGATGAGTACTGCAAACATGGATCTGGAAGATGTCATCACACACCCAGACAGTATTCAGGAACATATGCATTATGTGGGAAGAAAAAAGGACATAAATCTGAACCCCAAGAGTGCTGGAGCTTATGGGGTTGGCAAGATGAGAAGGAGCCAACAAGCAAACTAAGGAACAAACAAACAAGGCATGGCCAAAAGGCAAGACGGAGGGGAACTAGAAAGAGAGCTTACTGCTACTCAGACTGGAGACTGGCCACTTATCTCACACTGGCCCTTGGTATTTGTCTCACACTTGGCTCCTCTGGTCTGTGGCCTGGCTGGCAATCCTTGAAGTTCAGTGTTCCAGCTAGCAGGAGAAGCCACAAGGTAGGAGATATATATATAGATAGATAGATAGATAGATAGATAGATAGATAGATAGATAGTTCATGAATTGGAGTGGCCAGGATCCCCAGCTTCTCTTGTAGGCTGACTCCTCTCCATCCTCCCTACTGCCAGTAACACTCCGAATATATCTGACCATGTCACTCATTAAGACACATTCTGGCACTCCTCATTGCTCCCATAATGACATTCTAATCCATGGCTACCCAACGTCCTTTCCTGCCAGGTCCTCCCTTCCCTACTCCACATATGCCTGTGTCTTAGCCTCAAAATCCAACTACCGGTTCCTGAGTTGCCTGAGTTTGTCCAGCCCTGGAGTTGCTTCTCTTCCTGGCCCCACCTGTCAGGGGCCTGCTCATGCTTGTGTACCTGACTCCAGCAGACTTCTGAGTTCACACATGATAGTGCTCTCTCCCTCTGAGACACATCAGGCTTTACCTGCTGCAGTAGGCGGTGTCCTGCACTTCATATCTGAGCCATGTTCTGTTCTTCTGCATATATTTCAAAACACATCTGACATTCTGTCTAGCCCTTGCATGTGATACACTTGGACAGGGCCTTTCAGTCTTTGTAGACACAAGAGCAGAACTTTTTGCACACAGTAAGTCTAGAGTGTTTGGGTACTCCTAGGAAGTAAGTTGTCAGAATTTCTGTTATTGTTTGGGTTTTGCTTTTGCTTTTTGTTTTTGTTTGGTTTTTCAAGGTCATTATGTACTCCAGGCCAGCCTCAAACTGGTGCTTTTTTTTTCTGCCTCAGCCTCCCAAGTGCTGGGACTATAGGGTGCACCACCACACTCAACTAACTACCTGAGATACTTTGAGGAGTAGGTCCAAACTTGGAGTTGAAGCTGCAGTCAAATGCCAGCTATTCAAGTAGCTTTCCTTCTCTTAGCATTGCAGTCTGCATTTGGGTTTGGTTTTTGTTGTTGTTCTGTTTGCCTTTGCTTTTGTTTTACAAGACATGGTTTCTTTGTGTATCCCTGGCTGTCCTGGATCTTGCTCTGTAGACCATCAGGCTGGCCCTGAATTCACAGAGATCCACCTGCCTCTGCCTCCTGAGTGCTGAGATTAAAGGCATGCACCCCCACACCTGGCTCTGGATGTTTAAAAAAGACTTGTTTTTATTTTATGTGTATACATGTAACTTGAGTGTATGTATGTGTATCATGTGTGCAGTGTCCATGGAAATCAGAAGAAGGTCATACCATAGCCATACCATCAGTGTACTACTCTTTTTTTTTTTTTTTCTGTTATCAGTGCACTTTTTGACATACTATTCTGTCTGATTCCAGTAAAGTCACACAACCAGAACCTAAATGGCTACCCCTACTTTGCAGGAGATGCCGCTGAGGGATTAAGTGACCTGCACAGGTCTCACAAGTAGCATGAGTAGTGGTGAGCTCAGTGCCCTTCCTTCTGCTGTTCCTTACCTGTCCCTTGGTAAGGACCTCTGGAGATGACTGGAACCCACCTTTATGTCCATTAGCCTGGCAGAGGAGGTGCATGGTAAGAGTCTGTTAAATGAGTAACTACCTACTGTCTGTGTGCTTCTCCTTCCCAGAGGTGTAGCAGATGGCTTAGAAATTCAGAGAGCCTATACTCCCATCAGCCCTGTCACTGCGGAAGGGTACTTTGAAGTTTTAATCAAGGTGAGTTGATTCTTGTTGAAGTAAGGTGCTGTGGACTTGGACCTCCCTCTCTAGCTTGATTGGGGTAGAGGGTTTCCAATCTGTTAGGTGGCATGAGAATAGGCTGACTTGAAGGAGAAATAGTTTGCGGGGGTGAGGTGGGAGTGGGGGGGATGGAGGTGGGGGGAGGGGCTCTTCCCTCTCTTTTTCTAAGAAGGGTACTGCTGGCCATTACAGAGAGCATGTAATTGGGAAATCTTAGGAAAGCTTTGCATTACCACCTTTTATCAACCAATGGAAAGAGGTGCTGAGCTGAGAAGAAGTGGGAGCAAGTTCCTGCACCTCTGTGTGCTGGCACCCGGGTCCAGCCTGGCCTGGACGGACCAAGCCCAGGACAGAGTGATCAGATCAACTCAATGCAGCTTGATGCTAGTAGTGACAGAGGAGGACCGGCCCAACTCAGGGCAACTGGCATACAAGGAACTCAGGCCCGGCTTCCTGGTAGACACTATGTGTTTAAAGGCTGAGAAACAAGAGGAATAAAGGAAAAGAGGTCTGAGAGCTGGGAGCAGCACAGTAGAAGGTAAATGAATTGGGGAAAGTGTTCATCCAAGCTTAGAAGGGACAGGATGCCAGAATAGAAAACTGGGCACCAAGACTCTTCAGACAGAACTAACCCAACATCCTCTCTCTGGGAGATGGGCCGCAAAGGAGGAGTGTGGATTGACCAGACACAGGGAAGAGTGACAGGAAACAGAGGTCTTCTGGGGACTGTATTCAGCTCAAGTGGTAGAAGAGGATGCCTGTGGGGCAGCTGGGCCGGTAGAAGAATTGTCAGAGATGAGTGAAATGGGTTGGATACAAAATGCCCTGTAGACCCAAGATCTTAGCAATAAATTACAGCCATGGAGGCGGAGAATGAAGAAACTAAGTAGATTGCTTTTCATGGACCCACTGACCCTCTGACATTTGGCTTCCAGCAAGTGCTGCTCTGTGCGCTCAAACCTGCTATAGCTCTGCTTGGTATGGCCAACCTTGTAACACCATGCTGTCACCTACAAAGTCCATGCTCCAGAACAATTGGATCGACAAACAAACAAACCCCAAAACAAAAATAAGTTTTCGATTTTGTGCCAGGCCACTTTGACAGCTCTCCTTATCTGCTTGTGGCCACAGGCCACGGGTTGACATGCCTGCAAGTGAGAACATTTCCCTCGTGGAATCCTAGGAAGGACAGCTTCCGTATCCAAGCCTCCTTGCAAGGCTGTGTCGTTATCCTAGCTCATTGGTCAGCAGGCTGAGGCCCAGGAGGACCAAGGTGGAGGAAGGAGTGTCGTGGGTGAGCAAGCCCCTGACTCTGAGGCCCAGGGCTGCCCCGGGCTCCCACTTCCCTGCCTGCCTGCGTAGCCCGAATGTTTGTTCCTTCCCGCATAAGCCTGGACGAGCTCCCTTCTGCACACTACTGTTTGTCTGGGAGATTCCACAAATCCTCTCCAAATGGCCTGCTTCCCTGTGCTGCTTGTCTAGGGTGCTTCTGCTGAGAGGATAAGCCTGGAGACAGTTCTCCAGAGCAGCTGGATCCCTCCCAGCTGCAAGGCTGATTTCCTCCTTCCGAGAGGTTTCTCATTATCCCTAAGCCGCTGGCTGGGAAGAGCTGGAAATGTCTTTGCAAATTGGGAAGGCAGTGGGAATTTGTGGGTTGACTTTCCCAGGAGGAAATGAAGGAGGGCTTTTTTTTTTTTTTTTTTTTTTTTTTTTTTTTCAGACACCTGCTGGGCACTGATTACACTGCTTGTAACTAACTCCTTTCACATTTTCTCATTTCAACTCATGACCTCAAGAAGACCATATTATCCCTACTTTTAGCAACAAAGAAACTGAAACTGAAAAGCCTCTTGGGTGGTAAGACAAAAGCTGGGTTAGTTCTGTTGAAGGTTTACTCCAGGCCAGGCTGGATGTGGCGCTGTTCCTTTGGTGGTGTTGTGTCATGGGGCATCTGAGGCCGTAACTGGGGTCCTCTTTGTTTCTTTGTTTTATGTGTTTGGATGTTTTGTCTGTATGTATTTCTCAGAGTATCTGGTTCCCTGGAACTGGAGTTACAGACACTTGTGAGCCACCATGTGGGTGCTAGAAATCCAACCCAAATCCTCTGGAAGAGCAGCCGGTGCTCTTAACTGCTGAGCCATCTCTGCAGCCCCCATAGCTGGGGTTTTTACTTTTCCCAAATTGGGCCCAGAAACCAAAATGTCTTCCCACACAGCTTCCGGTAACCCCCCCCCCTTCCCAGGGCTCTCCCAGGTGAGTGGGGATTTCCTGTGCCTTGTGCAGCTGGTGTCACCCACAGCTAGTAACAGAGATGGCTGAGGACGCCCAAAGGCAGTTCTGACTACCAAAACCTAGTCTCTCCTTCAATCCTGGACACATCCCAACCACCCTTCCAGTTTTGTCTCTCACTGTTTCCCTGAGTCTGCTCCTCCATGGCTGTCTGATCTTCCCAAGAGACCTCGACTCTTTGTGCTACTGACCATGCTGCTGCAAGTTCCCAGATTCTCTTTGCATGTCTTCCCACCTTCTGGGAATTCAGTTTGACCAAGTGCATGTGTCTCCGCCTCCAAGAAAGCCAACCTTCCTGCTCCATGGGCTCAGGCTCCTCTTTATGGAGTGCAAGGCAGTATCTACCTTGTTTATGTCTGAGATGTGTATACACATTGTTCCTTCAGAGGAAGCCTGACTGGGTAAATGGATTGACTAGGATATTTATTACTGACTGTTCATGGTTCAGGCACTGGATGTCTTCATGGTGTTTCAGGTCTTACTATGTGCCCTGCTACCCCAGCATGGTGCTCAGAACAGAGCAGATAGGCCCTGTAGATGGCTCACTCACTTAGTAGTCATCCCACCAGGAAGTGGTGAAGAATGAGCTGGAAACAGTGTACAAATATACTTGGCTTAACCTGCCTGAGATTGCAGAATTATGAGTTTATTGCTGAGATTTCAGAATTAGGAGGGTTTTCAATAAAATTAAGAATCTTTTGCATCTCTTAGAAGACTCTTAAAATCTGGCAATATTTGCCCCCGACTAGCACCTGCAAAATAGCTTCCCCATTAGAAGGAACAACCCTTGGAAGACTGTTACCTTTTTGACACTGAGTGTTAGTTGCCTTTATTCACTACCCAGTTCTTTATTGGGCTGCATTTCCTTCATGCTCTCCTCTGGCATTTGGGTGTGAGACCTTGAAGTGGGTAGGTCCATTGGAGTCTCATCTCAGCCCTACCATCCATCTTGTGTAGGTAGATGCCAGTGTGGATGATAGCTCAAACATGTAGGGTGCAGAGGAAGACAAGCTGAGAGTCCCTCAGGAGATGCTGATCATGCAGAAGGAATTCCAAATGTTGGATAGGGAGGTTTGCACAGCAGTACATGCTTCCCACTGACTGTTCCCTGTGTTTGCACCAAGTGCTATCAGACTGGGCTGATGTCCCGGTACGTGGAGTCCTGGAGAACAGGAGACACAGCTTCCTGGAGAGGACCTTTTGGAAGCTTCTTGTATGAACCAAACAAGGTCAGTCAGTCCTTCAGTCCTGAGGAGCTTCGCCAGGTGGGTCTCCTGGCCATGAGTTCCCTGTTCTAGGCTATGGAAGTGCACTACACTGTTCTTCCAATGCTAAAACCCAGCACCCATGTAATTTTGGGTTTAGACAAGGGAGGGGATAGATAGGCCCTAATAAACAAAACTGTCCACTTTACTCCCAAACTGTTGGTAGCTGCCTGTGCTTCAGAAAATCAGCCTGAGTACTGGGTTCAGGACCCCAATGCCCTCTGACTCTCATATACTGTTCCAGTTGCCCCTTCTCTGAAGCAGCCCACACCCACTGCTGAGAGCTGAGTACTGAGACTGGAAGTCCCTTGCCCTCATCGCCACAGCATCCTTGGATCTTTGTCCAGCTTTCCCAGAAAGAACTGGTAATTTCTCTTCAGCTATCTCATGCCTGGAAGAAGTCCAATAATATGTATCAGGAGTCTTGAGAACCCTTTGACCCACTAATTCCATTTCTGGAAGTCTATACCAGAGAGAGAGAGAGAAAGAGACAGAGAAATCAAACTCTGCTTCTTGTTCATGTATTAGTGACACTTTTATTTATAATAACAAAAGACTAGAGGCAACTGAGTATCCAACAAAGGGAACAGGTACTTGATAGAACATTCTCCTAGAGATTGAAGTTATGTTTTTAATGATGCGCTATGCTTATGCTTATAAGAGCAAGTAACAAGTACTAGGCACAAAACAATATACACCCAATAGGGAAACTAACTTAAAATGTACAGAAAAAAATGTATATGGAAAATGTATGAAATGTTAGCAGGTTTTGGTGGGGGAATTATGGGCAATTTTCATTTTCTTCATTATACTTTCCAAATTATCTGGAATGAACACCTATTACCTTTATAATTAGGAAAACAAAGCAAAACCAAACAAAACAAGTGGAAAATAATGAATCATGCTTGCCTTGCCATTCTTTTTTGTTTAATTTAAAAATAGCTTGTATTGTATTTTGCCCTTATTATAAATGCAAAACATGTTCTCTAACCAAAAAAAAAAAAAAAAAAAAAAAATCAGAGGCAGACAGAGAAGAATGCACCTGCAAGCCATTCCCCAGACACCACCTCACGTCCTCACTTCCAAACCCTCTCCCTCACACCCACACATGGCATACATACAAACACGTACATGCACACATGTGTATGAGCATCATGATACTAGCCCTGTCAGGATTGGGTGTATCTCGGTGTAGACTGCTTGCCTAGCTCTTGTAGGGCCTGTGCTCCACCTCCAGAATCACAGGAAACACATATCCCCATGCACACTGCCAAATCCATCTGTACCTCATCCTCTGTGCAGGCTCTGGCTGTAGCACATGCTGTGTGTGGTAGCTCACTCAGCCCTCACAACAGCTCACGGGTGATTTGCCCCTCCCATCTTACACTTGAAAGTGTATGTGTTATCACTCTAAAGCAGTGTTCTGGTATTACCCATGGTTGGCCCTGCATTCTGTGTGTCCCCAGATCCTTGAGAGCAGGGTGTGGGTGTTGTTTCTTTTCTTAGCAAATGGCCCTCAGACCTCCTTCCCCTTGAGGGAGCCTTCCAGTGCCTGTGACCTGCATCTTGGGGACATCAGAGCCTTTTTTTTCACCCAGGTCTGCAGCAAAGGGGCAGGGAAGTGTCCCTTGTTCAGATTGGCCACCAGTGCTTTGCCAGGGCCTGCTTTGCTCCCTGAGAATGCTCAGGTACACAGCCCCTTGCCAGTCCTGCTCTGTAGATGTCTTGTTAAATCAACCATACAAATGTCTGTGCCTTCCTGCCACAGGCAGACACTAGCATCTGTTCAGGAGGAGACAGGTAGCATTTACCAGTGTTGCACTAGGAAGACACAAGGCACTAGGGGGACAGGAAAGGAAGAGCCCCCACCCCAGCCCTGCTCGGGGAAGGCTTCCTAGAACACTACCTGAGCAAGGATGAGAGAAAAGGAGGGGTGAGGCGGGTCAAAGACCTGGAACTGTGGGGACCACGGTTGCAGGACCAGGTGATCCAGCCCAGGAGCTCAGGCTTAAGAAGGGGGAGAACTGAAATGATTAACCCTCAACTTCATACCTCATCCAGTCCTCATGGCGGTTCTGAGACAGGAGCTATTTTAGGAAAATGCTCTCATTATTGTTTCCCACCACTGAAGAAATTGAGGCTTGTCAGGGTCACATGGCTGAGATTTATACACTCAGGTCTAACCTCTAGAATGAAAAAGGTGAATATTTTTCAGTGTGGGTCAGGCATTAACCTTTAAGAAACTGACTTTGAGAACTGGTCGATGGTGCCGCATGCCTTTAATCCCAGCAGAGGCAGAGGCAGAGGCAGGTGAGTTGAGTTTGAGGCCAGCTTAGTCTACTAAGTGAGTCCCAAGACAGCCAGGGCTACACAGAGAAAAACTTAACTCGAAAAAACAAATAAGAAAGAAACTGACTTTGAAAAGGTCTGTCCTTTTATTTATTTATTTATTTATTTTAAGAAACCTAGAAACAGGACATGGGCTCACTGAGGAGGGTAGACGGTACTAGGTCTCTTGGGCAGGAACTTAGCTTATAGTGCCATGCTAGGCACATGTATACATCACTTCATTTAGTTCAGAGAAGAGAGGCTCGGGGTTCTAGACTAGGGTCCTACGACCTTTGTAGAGCTCCCCAGGGTCAGAGGATGCAGTCCAGAAGAGCAGGCTGGGATAGAGTCAGGAGGGGAAGGGCTTTGGAAACAAAGGAAGTGGCTTCAGGAGGAGATGTCCTTGTCAGCACAAATATGTAACCAGAGAAATGCTAAAAGGCAGCCAAGCCCCTTTCAGGTTGGGCTACAGTGTAGGGGCCGCAGAATCCCATAACCTGTGTTTTGCAGGCCTTGCCTGCTGCTCACAAACCAGGTGGCTTCCTGCACCCAGGTGAAGCATGGCGGAGATGACTGGGGCACTTGAGAAAGGCATTGCTGCCCAGCTTAGCCATGAGGAGACCCACAGAAGGGCAGTGTGTGAGACCCCATCATCTACTGTACTGTCCATTCTCTCTAGTATGGTGAACTCCTCATGCTGGCAGCCGGCACAGGCCTGGCCCCTATGGTGCCTATCCTGCATAGCATCACTGACAATGCAGATGACGAGACCTTTGTCACCTTGGTTGGCTGCTTCAAGACCTTCGAAAGCATCTACCTGAAGACCTTCCTCCAGGAACAGGCCAGGTTCTGGAACGTGCGAACCTTCTTTGTCCTCAGTCAGGTGAGCCCAGGGTGAGGGCTCCCTCCACTAAGAAGCTGCATTTGCTCAGGATTGGCTGTAGCTCAGGATTGACTATGTCCTGTGCTACATTCCCAGTCCCAGGTGCTCTGTGTGGAAGGTAGGCATTGCCAAGTCCATCATACAGAGGAGGAAGCGTGTTTAAGAAAGTGCCGGGCCAAGGTACATGCTTCAGATGCAGGAGCCAGGACGGGCCCCATGCTTCCCACTCCTGAGCTTCAGTTTGTAGCTGTTGTCCTCAGCTGTGTGCCACCCACCTCCTGGAATCGCTTGTGTGGCCCTGGGACCTGAATGTGGATTCAAGGCTAAGAATGTGGGTTCACACCTGGGATGTTCAGCACGAGGCCAGGCCCAGAGTACTGTCAGCGAACTGTCGGTTTTCCAGCTGAAAGCCACCTATGTTCTATTTCCTGTGTCCTCATCCTCCCAGCTCCTGCCATAGCGATTTGTCTCAAGCCAGGCCTTCCATCACCATTGCCCATCTGCTTTCTAGAGGGTCTGGTTTTACTTCTTCCTGTACTCCTTAGGTTGGGGTTCCGTGTTGCCTGCCCCTGCCCCCCATCTCCTTTTGTTTGAGTGTCAGCCATATAGTCCTGTATTGCAGATACTCCCTCCTCACTTTCCTTTTTGAGATATTTCTGGAAAATCCCTGGCAGTTTATATGATCCTCGATGTTCTGGCAAGGTCCAAGAAACTGGATTGCTCTCCCCTGAAGAGCTTTGTAGAGCCATGGTGGAAAGCTCTCAGACATGCACATGGGAGGGTCTGTTTGGTGAACATTAACAGCATCAGGAAGTGTCTGACACAGGGCATGAAACAGGAGGCTGGTGTGCGGCCGAGGGCATGAGGGAAGGCCACAGGCCAATATCACAGCAGCCCCACAAAAGCGTGGGCCAGAAAGGGGAGCCGATCACAGGCACCTGGCAAACTCACCTGGCTGCTGGCTAGCCCCGTTTCCCTCTGTCCTCAACCAAATGAGAGATGTCAAGGTGAAACACTTCCTGTCCTTGAGGCGCTTACCTGTCTGCAGAGACAGGTAGGCATGGCTGTCTGCCTTAGTTGTCTTCTGTTACCGATGAATACCATGACCAGAAGCAACATGGAAAAGGAAGGTTCGTTGCAGCCTTCAGCTGTAGGTCCATCTGGGATGGAAGTCATGGCACAAACATGAACCCAAACACAGGAACTGAAGCAGAGACCATGAAGGATTGCTGCTTCCTGGCTTGTTCAGTTTGCTTTCTTATATACCCCAAGGCTCCGCTCAGAGATGGCACCACCCACAGTGAGCTGGCTCCTTCCACATCAGTCAATTAAGAAAAAGAGCTGGTGTGATTGCACACACCTTTAATTCTAGCCCTTGAGAGCCTGAAGCAGGCAGATCTCTATGAGTTTGAAGTCAGCCTAGTCTATATAGTGAGTTCTAGGCCAGCCAAGGCTATACACAGATCCCCTGTCTCATTATTAAAAAAAAAAAAAAAAAAAAAAAAAAGCCTGGTGTTGGTGGTACACGCCCTTGATCCCAGCACTCTGGAGTCAGAGGCAGGCTTTGTCTGTGAGTTTGAGGCCAGCCTGGTCTACAGAGTTAATTGCAGGACAGGCTCCAAAGATAACACAGAGAAACCTGTCTTGAAAAACAGAATGAGAGGATGTGCTCCACAGGCTTACCTATAGGCCAGTCTGACCTTAGGCATTTACTCACCTGAGGGTCCTTCTCAGATGACTCCAGTTTTAGTGAGCTGACAAAAGCTGCGTACCCTTCAGAGCACTTCAGTCCCCACTTCAGTCTCCTGAGGCTTGCACTGCCATCCTGTCTCCTTTACAGATGTAGAACTCAAAGTTACAAGGTAACCGCAGCAGAGAGTTGGGTACCAGCTGTCGGTCCTGCACAGAGGCCGTTCTGTGTCCATCAGTATAGCACACATACATGCTGATAGGGTGTTTGTCACTGCCGGCCTGCAGGGAGGGCAAGTGAGGCCAGGAATGTTGCAGGAACGCGGTAGCATTTGAGCCTGGACTGGGAGTTATGTTAAAAGTTCACTTTTGGCTCTGCCAGGCTTTGCTGATGCTGAAGGTTGGGCAGGGGAGCGGGCCGGCTGGATAACAGGGATAAGGGGTGACTGTGGTAGCTCTGCTCACCCACACGCACTTGACTCAGGTTGCCTCTCTCCCTGCCTGAGTCTGGCAACAGCATCTTCAGGTCCCCCGACTCCTGCCACTTCCTACCAGCTTGTCCTTCATTCTGCAATGCCTTACTCCTAGCCCTTCACTGGCCCCCACTATTCTGAGGACTTCCCAACCCAAGTGATCTTGACATCTCCATCTCTTGGCCTGCTCTCCCTAAAGCCATGTCCTGGTGCCACTGTCGAGCTTGCAGGTACAATGGCCCTGTGCTTTTCTGACAGCTGCCCTTTGTGCCTGCTGTCGGCTGCCAGGTGTGCTGGCTCCCCGTCCTTCCCCAGTGCCTAACCTTCCTGGGTCTGCTAAGATGGAAGTTCTTCCTGCAGGCTCAGAGCCTCAGGTGGTGCTAGTGTTTCTGCTGCCACGGCCCTGCTGCTCCCATCACAGCATCTACCTATCCACCATTGTTTAAGGGGATCTACCATGACTGAGGAGTAACCAGACTCAGTGCACCTTGGGGTGCACAATTCGGGTAGGGCCAGTGGAACAGAGTGGTTGGGAGAACCAGAAAGTGGGGAGGAGAGATGAGGTCGGTAAGGCCTGCCTGCTGGCTCAGCCGTCAAGGTTCTACCAGGTAGGGAGAGAGTTTGGGGGGAGTGTAGGAAGATCCAGGTCATCAGAGAGTGCCCCTTGACAGCACTAGAGGACCTAGAAGTGGTCCAGACTCCTTAGGGTTGAGGCTTCAAGGCCTGAAAGCACACGGGACACCAGGAGGTCTTGCTCCTCAGGCTTCCACGGGGCTGTGTTCTTATTCTGGTTGGCAGGACCATGGCTCTCCATAGCCCGGGCCTTTATCTCATAGCTCAGAGTCTAGTAACTCAGCATGGCAGTTGTCAGGACTCCCTCTCTAGGGCCTTCTGGATCCTGGCTCCCTAACCCTGAACTAGGAGCTTTTGGTGGAAGGTTCTCTACCATTGCCCACAATGGTGGAAGAGAGCAGAGAACCCCAGGAGTCATGATTGCTCTTTCTTGTCTTCCCAGGAGGTCTCCCCAGAGCAGCTTCCCTGGAGCTTCAGTGAGAAGACCCACTTTGGCCGCCTGGGCCAGGAGCTGGTCAATGAGCTAGTAGCCTGCTGCCGGAGAAAGCCGTTTACTTTAGTCTGTGGTCCATCTGCATTTACTGAGGACATGGCTAGGTGTTTGCTGTCTGCTGGCCTGACTGAGGACTCCTACTTCCTCTTCTAGCCCTAGCCACACACCTTGTACAGGGGCACAGAAAGGAGCCCAGATTAGAATCAGATGACATGGAATCCAGGCCAAACCCTGCTGCTGACTTGCCCAGAGACCTTGGACAATGTCGTCACCCTTGGAATTTCCTTTCCTGTCTGCTTCACAAGGTTTGTCCTTCCCTCCTAGCATCCTGGTGTGTGGAGGGAGGCCAGCAGCAGCCTGGAAGCTAGGGAAGACTGCTCCAAGGAACCCAAACAAATGGAGTCCTGCCGAGCTCAGGGTGGTGGGCATTGGATGGGATAAGGGGTGAGGAGCCTCTCTCATCCTTCCAGAGGGCTCAGATTCGGTGCTAAGAGGATGACTTTGGGGAAAGCTCAGAGCGCTCGGAGGACCTTAACTTCAGTACCTTCCGTGGGTTGACCCTGACTTGCTCCAGGCCTTGGTTAATGACCTGACCGTGTTCTCAAAACAAGGCACTGGATCGTCTCAGTATCAGGGCCAAGTCTGTCCTGCTGTGGTCAGCTGCGTGCTCAGTCTGTCTTTCCTGGCTCAGCAAGCCAGCCCAGAGTCCTTTCCCCACAAAAGAAGAGGGATAGAGGCAAATGCCCCTCCCTCCTGCAGGCAGCCACATAGCCTGTGCCTTCAGCTCGGTGCCCTGGTGACGGTTGCTATGGAGATCTAAAGATAGAGCAGGAGTCAGGAGACCTGGGTCCCTCTCCCAGCTCTGCCCACTGAGTGGCTGCTGATCCAGGCCCACCCAGCCCCCACCCCCACCCCCTCCATCATGCACGGGGCTTGCCCTCTCCAGGGAACTTGCCGCCCCTGGGCATCACGTTGACTTAATGAATTCTGCTTTCCACGGCCTGGGCCCCAGTATGCTGCACCAGCGCAGGCTAGATACAGGCAGTTGCAGACTTCTAAAGCTCCGCAGTGGAATGTTAGAAGCCGAGAGCTGGGAGCCTTCAGGATTAGGCATTTATAACTGTAGAGTTGCAGTCTTTCCAGCTGAGCAGACATTCTGATGCCAGAAAACCCTGTCCAGCAGATTCACTGTTTGAACGGGGAAACCAAGGCCCCATGAGTGACTCAGCCCTGCAGTCTCCCATCTCACCCCTGCTCGTTGAATTTTTGTCAGAAAGGTCTTTGCTGTTCCGCCCAGAAAAATCACAATAAACACACCCTTCTGGGCTGTGTTCACGATACAGTCTCGGTGAACAGCTGGGTGGCAGGAAGTTTTCACACTGAACATCGGGGGCATGGGACCTCTGTTGTGGTTTACAGGGTGTTAGGTGTGACTTCTCAGAACCCATGGTCACAAACACATTAAAGCTCCATGAACATAAGTCAAGACACTTGACTTTGTTTGGCCCGGGTTCTCAGCCTGCTCTGAGACAGTTTTCTCAGGGTCTCAGGCCTGGCATGGTGTGACAGGGCTGAAAGACCCTGACCAAGAGCCAGAACTCCCAAGCACTGTCTGTGTTCTCTTCCCACCTTGCCTATGGCTTGAAACAAGGCACATGTCTTCTCTCGGGAGCCTTGCTAAATCCTGCTGGTTGTCCTCATGGATGCTCCTAGAGGACAAGGAGCCTGACTGTCCCAGGAAATAGCAGCAAAGGTGCCAGGTGCAGCCTTTCCAGTGGAGAGTGCCAGCCTAGGCACAAGTTGGAACTCAGAGCTCTGAAAGGGTTTGTATTGTAGAAATGGGGTCCATGGTGCTAAAAGAGTGGCCTGTAGGAGGGGCTGGGACACTTCCCTGCCTCCAGGGCGGCTTCAGGAGGCTACAAAGAGCTCACTACTCTGTGAGCAAGACAGATCAGCACCCCACACTCTTCTGCCACTGCATCTGGGAGCACAGCAACGCCTCCATGGCCCAGGCCAGCCACCGTATTCCCATCGCAAAGGACGCCTAGTACCTCCTGGAAGTAGAGCATTTGAGACATAAGCAGAATTGAACAGTGCTGGGCAGTGGCAGGACTCTTCATCTACAGGGAAACATACCTTTATATTATTCCACAGAGCACACCTGGAGGTACATGTAAAGACTTTTTCCTGTATGGCCTGAGACAGTCAAGACCAAAGTCTGTCCATGAAAAAGTGAACTGAGAAACGAGCAGTTCTCCTCTGTTTCTTTTGTTTTAATGCTGGGGACTGATCCTAGATCCTCATGGTTGCTCAGGATATACCGCACCGCACCCTAGCCCCAGTAAAGGATCCCAGGGAGACGCTAGACTGTAGTTAAAACGATAGGACCAGGTCTCCAACATGCATTAAATGTTTGTAAAGATTATAATGGAATAAGCTGCACATAGTGAAAGGACAGGAACAGGGTCAGCAAGATGGCTCAGCAGCTACAGGTGCTTGCTGCCAAGCCTGACAACCTGAGTTCAAACCCTGGAACCAACCCACGTGGTAAAAAGAGGATTAACTCCCAAAAATTGTCCTCTGGTGAACACACACACAGTCCAATAAAAAGCAAAAAAAAAAAAAAAAAAAAAAAAAAAGGGACTGGGACAGTACTACTTGGGAATTATAAAATTCCAGAATGTTTACTGTTGAGATAGCCCAGCTGCAAGCACAAAGAGAGGACAGGGGAAGGGGGGCAGGACTGCTGATGATAAATGGACAGGAGAGGGCTGGGGAGGGACTGCTGGCTGTAGCTGCTCTTGTATTGTGTTACAGAAAATACTTGAAATGAGCTTTCTGGAAAGTCTGGGTATTGGGTTCCCTTGTGTTTAGAAAATAGTTCTGCAGTTAAAGATTGCAAAATAGTATCTGCTGTACTCAGGCAGGTGCACACCTGTAACCCCAGCACTTGGGAGGCAGAGACAGGATGATCAGATCGAGGTTATCCTTGGCTACATAATACCTGTGAAAATAACCTGGGGTACCTGAGGGGCTGTATAAAAACAGAGCAAAACAATCGTCCACTTAGCAATCCACACACTTCATAAAGTAGGGGCCCCTAATGGCCCCTTGTGCTCCCTGCTCATGGCAGTGTTGGCCCTTCATAGCTCTTCAGTAATTCATGGAAGGGTCTCTGTGAGCTCCTGTGATCTCCTGTGTCCCCAGTGTGGGACCCAACAGTACAGGCAGCGGGGTGTTCCTGCTCCTCAGGCTTGGCAGGCTCTTGGCTCCCCTGTTTTTTCTCTTCTTCATGAACTCAAATCTAAAATGACTTCCCAAGCACCAGGGTGGTGCACACTTTCTTTTCACCTTTTTATCCACTTTTTAAAATAAATCAGAACTAGGTTCAACTCACTTCCTGTGACCCACAGCCAAGTAACTTAGTCCTTTTGAAGCTCAGTTTGCTCATTCTGTAAAATGGGAATGTAACCACTCAAGTCATCTCTCACTCTATTGAGGGTGAGGGAAACAGTTTGCACAGCCTGATGTGGGTGCCTGGGCCTGTATTAGTAGGGATTTTTTTTTTTTCCGACTGAGACAAATACCTGAGTGAAACAGAGGAAGGAGTGGAGAATTTCAGCCCACGGCCGGCTGACTCCGGTGCTTGGGGTCCAAGGCTATGCACAGCATCATAGCAGCCAGCGAGAGAGCAGAGCTTCCTACCTTCTCACAACCAGGAAACAGCAGAGAGAAACAGGAAGGGATCAGGACAAGATGGAACCCCCAAAGACACCCTGACACTTCTGCACACTCAATGACCTACCTCCGACAGCTAGGTGCCACTAAAGTGTCTAGCACCCTCCGACATAGCACACATGGGGATCAGGCTTTCAACATGTGGGAGCATTTCATACTCAAATCACGACAGGCCCAGTCTACTCCCCATTTCCTCTCCCTGGTAGCCACTCCCAGAAGTGCTCAGCTCACGGCTGACCTCTGAGGACAGCGTTTCTTCCCAAACATCATGTTCAGTAATGCTGTGCACACCCAGCACATGGTGCACTCCTGTAGTCTCAGCTACTCTGATGCTGAGGTAGGAGGATCACTTGAGTCCAGGGATTCATGGCCAGTCGGAGCAACATGACCAGACTGTCTCAAAAAAATAAAAACCACAAAACAAATAACCTTCCCCTTTTAATTCTTTTTTCTCTGCTTTGGAGGATTTTGACCCCAAATTTCAAGTATTAAGTCATGATTACTTATCTCCCATGTTTTCATTAATCAAAGACATAAACAGCTGCCACTCAGAACTTCTGATCCGCATGTCTCTCGGGCACTGTCCGTGGCTGACGTGCACATGGTCCTGGCCAGAGCAGAGGAGCTCTATAGTGTGTGTGTGTGTGTGTGTGTGTGTGTGTGTGTGTGTGTGTGGTCTTCAGACCCTGCATCTTACTCCTTCAGTTGGCTTGACCTGTGAAAGCTGCTGGCCTTGTCCAAGTGAACACTGTTCTCACAGGTGGTACTGATTGGCAGGCTGGGAACTGAGTTTCTTTGTCATAGATTGCTGTGGAGCTCCATGAGGGTCCCAGGCCCCCACCCTGCAGGGCTCACTCCAAACTGAGGGCGTGTACCATTGCCTCACAGAGGAATGCACGGTTCACATACAGGGAGGTGGCCAACTGTCTGCATATGGGTCCCACAGACTCTGGCTGAAGACCACCACATTGCCTTGCTCCTTGCTCCTAATGCTGACAGAACACAATAATCGGAGTGGGGTATCAGTCTTGACCAGATCCCAGACCTCAGTGCTGGTGGCCAGGTGGGCACACTGAGTGGGATGGTAGATCACATCAGCCAGTTTGGAAGGCAGGTGAGCCTGTACCAACACACACACACACACCTGGGTGCAGGGGAACTTCACCTCTGGTCTGGCTGACCACAGGAGCATCTGAAAGAAGAGAGGGAGGGATAGATTGTCTATTGCAAACAAAACTTGAGCCTGGGGCTGTAGGTAATGGCTCAGCGGTTGAGAGCACTGGCTCTTCTAGAGGACCCAGGTTTGGTTCCCAGCACCCACATGGCAGCTCACAACTGTCTGTAGCTCTAATCCCAGGGAATCTGGCACCTTTGCACATATACATGCAGGACAAACACCAATGCATATGAAATAAAAATTAATAAATCGTAAAAAATAAATCTTGAGCCCAGTGTGTGAGATGGAAACCCCCAAGCAGGAGCATAAGATTGGAACACAGGTGGAAAACAAGCACAGAAGCTTGCCCTAGAAGCCATGCTGTGTTGACTCAGACCCCTCCCTTCCCCTCACCACACCTCAGCCCCTGACTCTTGCCTGTTCCTACTTGATGCTGACAGGCCAGCTATGGTTCCTCTGGGGCTGTGTCCTTAAAGATTTCTGATTCTGGGAAAAAAAAAAAAAAAAAAAAAAAAAAGGGAAAACAGACATCAAAGTGGACAACATCTGCTGCAGGTCCACTGTGAGTATTGCATTTTATTTATTATTAGTTATCTCTCTGTGTCTCTGTCTCTCTCTTACTCTCTCTCTCTCTCTCTCTCTCTCTCTCTCTCTCTCTCTGTCTCTCTCTCTGAGATAGGTTCTCACTACATAGACCTGGCTGGCTAGCCTAGAACTTGCTATATAGAGTAGGCTATCCTTGAACTCACAGATGCCTGCTGATGTGTGGTTCTTCACACTCAGCAAAGTCCCTCCACCCACAGGAGCATGCAGTTAGTCCCCACAGTAGCCCAGGCACTGGAGAATCCCATTTTACTCACGTGCAAGCAGAGGCTTGGTGTGCCAGGGACTTGCTCAAGGTTCCACAGTGCATCAAAGGCAGAGCTAAGATCCAAGCCCAAGCTCTACCATCTGTGGCATGTGGATAGTATTCCTTTCCTAGGGGGTGGTCTTCACACCTGAGCCTGTGGGGAAGGAACAGGGCAGGGTTACTGAAATACAGAGATTCAAATGTAGTTTCCTGGGCCTGGGATCAGGCTGTGGTTCCCAAGAGTATGAGGGCCCAGTAATTCCTTAGACCACCTTCCGTCATTTGCAGACTACCCTACACACCACCAGCTCTGCTCCACAGAGCCCACCTCCCCATCCCCCACCTTACCTTTCTCTTGGACCTTTGCCTCTCTCTCTCCTGTATTTCCATCCTCTATCATCTAGGGACACAACACACACCGTGCAGACACCAAGACTTCCTATCATGCTCCAATAGAAGTTTGGGATGGGGGTGCTGCCCCTTCCTGTCCCCACTTCCTGGCTACTGTGCTTGTGGGAAATGCCATGAGACCCCTAGGGTCCCTGTTAAGGGAGTGATGT